TGTTTTATACATTTTTCAAAGTAGAATTTGCCATTTATTTTCTTCTCTAAGATGTGAATTAAGAAAGTTGGATTCTTCGGGGATAATGAAAAATACTCTTGGACATCTTAAATTTAAGATGACAATGAAATTGACATGATACCAACAGGAAGTTGGAGATGTGGTACTTTAACTTAGCAACAAAGTCAGGATTGAAGATATAAATCTGGTAGATATATGTGTAAACATGATAATTTAAATTATAACAGTGGATGGCATTTTCAAGTGAAAGAAGGTAGACAGAGAAGTAAAAAGTTTCAAGGACCTTACTCCTCACTTTAGGGGTATTAAAAATAAGTGGAAAAGTAAGCAAAGAGAACTGAAGAAGTAAGAAAATAAGCAGCTTAATTCAATACACTATTAAGGAAAAACAAGAGAAGAGAGGCAGTGACTTACCAAATTACAATAGGTTGGTTTATTTCTATTTGACGGGCAAAATTACATTATATTCAACTCTCAATAACATGTAGGACATTTTATTCTACATCCTAAAGCAAAATCTACTTGGATGGTTGGGAAGTAAACATTTTTCTAATTAGTTTAGTAATAGTTAATTGAAGTTTTCTTAGACTATATACATTTTACAGTAAGAAAAGGAAAAATAAAAAAAATAATGATTCAGTTTTCCTCCTTATATTTGTTAAATTTAGTCTTGAATAAATTATCAGATTGAACTAATAAATTGAACTAATTAAATTAAAAATGATTATAGCAGATTCCTTTCCATACCATCTTTTTCTGTACAAAATTGTAAAAGCAAATTTTGATGTAAGCAATGATTTCATTGAGCAGAAAATATCCAAATATCAGAGACCTCTTTAAATGAATACGTTTTTTTACAGAAGAAATAAAAGTGGGATTGTTGCAATACTGCATTTTTTCCACACAATACTTACATCTGGTTTTAAGGATTTGCTTCCTATTGCCTACAGTGTGTGACAGTTTATCTTCTCCTTGTCTCTTATATTTGCAAGAGTGCAATTCTATTCTCCAAAGCTTAAATAGTCCATATGCTTACATGGCTTTTTAATATATCAAATTATTAAAATGAAAATTTATATGTAGATCTCAGAAGCAACTATCAAAATTATTAAAATATGACACCTTTCTAGAAGTTACTAATGTGTTCATTCTGAAACAGATGTATCATTAGGTATAATTAATTGCTTTAGGCTATGTTTAACTAGGTAAGTTTCTGATAATATAATGAAGCCTGAGAGATATGTACCTGCATCCTGATTCTCAAAGGATAAAACACAAACAAGTTGGGTTGTGTTAAGTAAAATAAACTTATTCCTTTATGCTCTGTACATTTCTTTCTTTTTTTAAAAAATTTTTAATGTTTTTATTTATTTTTGAGACCGAGAGAGACAGAGCATGAGCAGGGGAGGGGCAGAGAGAGGGAGACACAGAATCTGAAGTAGGCTCCAGGCTCTGAGCTGTGAGCACAGACCCCAATGCGGGGCTCAAACTCACAGACTGTGAGATCATGACCTGAGCTGAAGTCAGACACCCAACTGACTGAGCCACCCAGGTGCCCCTGTAAATTTACTTCTAAAGACAGGTGTATCATTCCCCAATATTGCCCCATAAATTATAAAAAGTAGAAACTAAGAGCTCAATAGTCATATAAACAAAAATGTTAGAACGTAATTTCAGCCTCAGAAATAATTTATAATTGTATCACATCCAAAAAAAACCCAAAACACAGATTTTTACAGATAACCAGAAGACCACTATCTATTTTCTCTATGTATTACTATTTAAAACTTATTTCATATTGTCATCAATGTGTTTTAATAAAACATCTCTTAAAATATCAACCCAGGAAGTACCACAATGTAGGTTGCATTAGGCTATTTAGTTTTAACACTAGTGTCTAAATCATTAATGTAAATAACATGGAAATAATTATTATGCAATATACATGCTTATTTGGTGTTATGTCATGTACTATTTTACATTAATTCCCATTATTTTGTTAATTTCACAGATAAAATTTTTAAAAAGCAGTTTCTCTGCTTGATTAGTTTTATTTTCTCTAAGTCTCATAATAGTAATCAAAATATATTAATTGATAGATTAATAATGTTGGGTTTACACAGAATTTTTTTAATATTTATTTTTAAGAGACAGAGAGAGACAGCGCAGAGAGAGAGGGAGACACTGAATCTGAAGCAGGCTCCAGGCTCTGAGATGTCAGCACAGAGCCTGACTCAGGGCTCAAACTCAAGAACTGTGAGATCATGACCTGTGCCGAATTTGGACGCTTAACTGACTGAGACACCCAGGTGCCCCTACACAGAATTTTTGATAAACAAAATATTTTACCTATGCAACTATAGGTACTAGAGAAACTGAAGATCAAACAGGTCAGTCCTGTGTATCATATTATTGCAAATAAGCCATTTCTTGTTTAGTATATATACTGGGTTGGTTAATGACTCTAATCTCTGTATTGCTTATAAAGTACATGTAGTTTAGCAGAAAAGACACTGTGGGAAATGACAACACAAAATTCTAAACTCTAACAAGTAATTAAAGTTGCCTTACTATTTTACCACTTTTTTTTTATCACTTCTTGCCAATATTTGTTCTGAAGATGTCATCTATTTACAAAATGTTTTATGGAAATTAATACACTTCTTTCACATATAAAAAGACTACAGAATTTTCTCCCTGATTCCATTTCCCATATTTCTCCCTCAGCCTCAAACAAACTGGCCCACTCATACGGCCAAACTATTTTTATTTTTATATTTTTGGTAGAGTTAGGAAAAAACAGTTTATATTTTATAATCTAAGTATTATCAACAGTTTCAGGAGTCCTATTTTTGAGTTTTCATATATCTGTACATTTTTCAATCACATTGCTTCATTCTGGCACTGTATTACTTGAAGAATGTGAGGCAGTTGCAGAAGCTAAAGAATTAAATGGTATAAACACACCTTTCTCAAATCCTTTGAGTGGGAAAGGGAGGGAAAAATCTGGTACAGATAACTATATAACTCTTTCCTTTATGGTTTTCCTTTAGATTATTTGTTAAAAGGAAATTATTAAATTTTCATGGGCCCTGCAGAGTCTTGCCTTGGTTTATAAGATGAAAAGAAAAGGAAATATTAACTACTTCATTTCCAAGGGATAGACACTACCTGACCGTATGCATTAGAAGAATTCTTAGTCTTGAGTTGCAATGTTTTAGGATGTGCCCTTGCTGTGGTTTCAATGCCCATGTCCAAGGTCAGGAGATCACAAGCTTTATTCTGTGCCTGCAGTTATCATGTGGAGCAGTGAGCAAAATTACAGAACATTTGTACAGCCAGCTTGGCTCAAATATATATATGTAAACTCTGATCTGCCAGATCATTTTACTCAGCTAATATACCTAAATACCTGCCTACCAGTTTATTTTTAGGGTGATTATTCAAAATTAAAATTATTATTGAGAAGTCATTCTAGTATGGAATTTCTTTGAACAAAGTGCACTATACAGCAGTGGGGATATATAAATTGGGTAAGTGATTCAGGTCTTAGGAAGCAGGTATGGTTCTCTGGTACAGAGGAAATGTGAGTTTTAAGCAGCTATCTTGTCTGTGTCCTTCCTACAGTCACCTGAACAATTTCTTTTCATTGGTCACAGCAGCTTTCTGGAAAAGACCGGCTGCTGCCAAGAGTATGGAGGACAATGTCTGGCAAGAGTCACAGAAATGCCATCTACCAGTGCAGATTTCGCAGACCTCAGTGAGGACTTGTCCAAAATCTGATCATAAAACCACAGGTTCCAGAAGCCTTGGTTCTATCTCATGCCATAATGTCACCCTCTTATTTTATCCTTCATCATTTGCCATTCAACAAAATAAGCAAGATTATTTATACTTGATATAAAGCCATATCACAGGGAAATAACAAACATCCTTGAAAATGCTCAGAGTGCTTTGTGAAGTTTCTGTAAGCTAGATTATAAATGTGTACTATCACTATCCCCATTCCCTACCCTCTGAGATATAAAAGCCCCGCAAGGGTGTTTCCTGGCCACTTTTTAGCTCTTTAACCTTTTAAAGCAAGTCATCATCTCTGGGTTTTAAAAATGTCAATATCTTTTCAGGGTTTTTATGCTTTAATAAGGAAAGGCTATAGAACAGTCTGTCTTTAAAAGTTAATATGAAGAAGAACAAGTTTGCAACTCTGTCAAGTGTCTACGCAAGATTTACTACTACTTGAATGAATTTACTATGACTTTGAATGAATCATCTCATTTTGCTTATTTGCTAGTAATTGCATTCCAATAGAAGAAAGATGCTGGTTTTAGAGATCTAAAAACTACAGTATTTCAACAGTAAAAGCATTCATGTTAGAAATACGATGGTAATTCGCGTATACAAGCAAACATAAACACACTCACATGAGGACAGCATAAAA